TTCTTCCTTTTCCAGTAGATCCATTTTATGTTTAATTATATCCATTTTTATTTTAACATCTTTTTTTGTGGCAATCTCTGTAGCTCTCTTTCAAGTATTTTGTAGTCATTATCTAAAGCTTTATGCATTTGTCTTTTCTTTAAGTTTTTCTTCCTTGTATAGTCTATTATCAGACCTCTAGTGACAGCCTTCATTGTATCCCAAAGATTCTGCATTGATGCATCTTCTTTCCTATTTTCTTTAAAGAAAAAGGCTAGCTCTTTTTCCATTTTTTTGTACAAAGACTTTTTCTTTCAATATAGTATTATTTAATGTTCATCTAGATCTTGTCCTTTGGCCTTTCCATTTAATTGTAATTGATTGTGGTCCGCCCAAGTGCTTGTTTCAATCTCAATTTCTTGTGCGTTGCAAGAAAGATTTCAGAAGCAATTTTCTATTTAGCTTTGTTGTTTTGTGTGTTTGTAATCCATGTTCTGGTTCACAATGCCATTGAAATCTCCCATCATACAAATATCAACATAGTCTAAGTCCAAGATTCTTTTATGCAATTTTTTATAAAATTCATCTTGTTTTTCATTAGGGCATAGATTCCAATTAGAAGGTTTTTTTTTTGATATCCATAATTTCCACCATCAAAATTCTTCCCTCTTCATCTGCATAGATTAATTTTGCTGAAATATTATCTTTAATATAGAAGATCACTCCTCTTTCCTTGCAATTCGCCAGTGTTGAAAACATTTTCCCAAGCTTTGGTTGTTAGTAGGTGTTCATGTCTCTTCTGAATATGTATTTCTTGTAAGCAGATTATGTCAAGTTTTAACTTTTCTAATTTATGAAATGTTTTCTTTCTTTTAATTGCTGAGTTAAGTCCATTAATATTGATTGTAATCATTTTTCTTTCCTTCATATTTATACTTTATATACAGGGTTTATAGCTCTAGTAGATCTGTGTTCTCGTTGTTCTCTGTAGCTTACACCACCCCCACCACACCTTCTTCTTTCTCAATTCCACCTACAGCTCCTTCTACTTTTTCAGTCTCAGTTGTAGGTGCCTCCCGTAGTTGTGCCACTAAATCATCTTTTTCAGTTTTCTCAGCTGTTTCTCTGAAATATTCTGCATAGAAAGCTTCTGCTTTATCAATTGTATCTATCCTGTGTCTTTGTGCTTACCATGTAAATAGTAGACCTTCCAGTATGAGCCATCTGTAATTAACACCTTTTTAAATCAAAACTTTAATCAAAAATTGATATTCTCTTCTCCTCTCTCTAACCTCTCTTGGAATTTGTTTGAGAACTACAATCTCTTTGCCTTTATATTCTAATTTTCTATCTCCCATTTTCTGTAGAATTTGTAGTTTAATTGTTTTCTTGGTAAATCTTACATGGACTTCCCTTGGAAGAGCATTTCTCTTTGCATATCTTGTATGTACTCGGAACGCTTCATCTATGCCATCCATCATCTTCTCCTGAAATATCTCTAATACATTTGGATGTATTAGGATATTATCTGTGCTAGGTTCTCTCCTCTTTCTTCTATGTTTTGAAATCTTAAGAAGAATTCAGACCTATCCATCTCCCATCTTAATATTCCACTGCTCTCCCTTTCCATGTTGCTCAGTCTACTGTCTAACTTCTCAGCTTTCTTTTCTCCTTCTTGAATTTTTTTCTTCAATTTTTTGAATCCTGTCTTCATATTTCATCATCCAGTTGTGCATATTTTCCATTTTTCCTTCCATTTTGTCAACTTTTTGTACTATGCTTTGATTTTGTTGTTCTATTGTCTCCATTCTTTTTTCTATACTCTCAGACTTCTTTACAATGGTGTCTAGCTTTTCATCCTTGCTATCAACTCCTGCTTGCAATTTCTGTATCGCTTGCATGATTGCCTCTAAGTTTACTCCTTTCTCCTTTTCTTGCTGCAGCATTGACTGTATTGACCTCTGACTTCCTGCAGGTGTACTTTTCTACTCATGTTCTAAGTTTTTTCCCCTTTATATTCTAGTGCAGTTAATATCACAGAGGTTTAGACAACAATTTATGAAGATGAGAGGTTATAAATAAAATAAGAGAAGGGTGAAAGAAAAAGAAGGGAGGAGGAAAGAGTGAGAATCTCACTTAAGAAGAGAAGTAAAGGAATAAAAAAGAGAAGAGAGAGGAAGAGGGAAAAAAAGAAAAGAAACGAAACTCTTCAGTCCAATTTACACAAAATTTAAGGCAAGCCATCCATTGATGTCCAAATATCTTCGAAAGGACAAAAGTGCAAAAATAAAAAATAAAGTAAAAAGCAAAAAACAAAGATACTTCAAGCCACAAAAAAGGGAGGGGGAAGTCAAAAAGTCAAGGGGAATAAAAAAATCAATATCTCCCCAGCAAGATAATATAAAAGTAGTATAAAAACAAGCTAGAACAAATAAATTCAGTCTTTCCCCCCCCCCTAAGATAAAAGTCTTTCCAAGGTCATTCTTAGCTTCCCTTGCTGCTTATTATTTAGTCTAAAGTAGGTTTCCAGATACTGAAAGACTCCAGCTAAGTAAACAAAGCCTGCTCTTCCACTCTTAATCAAATGGTTTACAAGGGAAGCTTCTGGTAACAATGTTTCAAGTCCACTAGACTGCGTTGGCTTGTGTTAGCTTGTATCAAGTCTCGATACTTAAAACTTCCATTTAAACTTTTTCTTAGAAAATAAGAAAAAGTACCAAAGAGCAGGCTAAAAAAAAAGAAGAAATCTTCAATACATTTTAGATTTAAATTCAATGTCCCCACAAGGTCCAAAATTAAGAGTATCAGAGAGAAAAAGAAAAACACAGAAAGCCAATCCACATTTTAATAAAAGTCCGGCCCAGCTTCCGGAGATAAAAAAAGGGGGGGGGGAACCCTTCAATTGGCAAACTTATATCTGACACTTTTCTCACTAATCAGCCTTATTTTAAATTGGATTTCCAAATTTAGGGTGTTGTCTTTCCAATAGAAAAAAAGGTTTAAAAACTCTCACCAACACGACATGCTTCTCTCCAGTGCTTGTATTTAGGGGCTGTCAGCAGCTTCAGCAGCCTGTAACTGTATTTTATTTTGAATGCATGTTTAAATACAATTAAATTAAAATTATTAAATCAAAACAATCTAAAATATAAACAATCAACATCCCCCCCTCAGCGGGCCACAGTAAAATTATCAAATGTTGACTGGTCCATGGCGATAAAAAGGTTGGGGACCACTGCTTTACATAAATGACCTTTGTGATCATATTACAAAAACTGTGTTCTCTTCGCTGATGATGTAAAACTATTTAACACCACCGACAATGCAGCTACCCTTCAAAAAGACCTTGACTATGTTTCAGAATGGTCAAATAATTGGCAAGTTCAAATCTCAACCAACAAATGCTCTGTCTTACACATTGGCAAAAAAAATTAAAACACAAAATACAAACTGGGTGGACATAACCTTGTAGATGACTCTCACTCTATCAAGGACTTTGGAGTACTCATATCTAATGATCTAAGTGCCAGAGCCCACTGTAATAACATCGCCAAAAAGGCATTAAGAGTTGTTAACCTAATCTTGCATAGCTTTTTTCTGGTAATATTGTACTGCATACCTGACTCTGTGATTTCCTCCACAAACCTCTACTGTATTCTTAGAAAACATAATGGAACACCTGAGACACTCAGAAAGTATAGTTAGAAATTTGAATTTTTAATGTGAAAAAAACTTTATTTGTGGAAAGTTTATATAATGACAATCATTTTGAATGGGGGGAATATAAGAGTTTAGCCAAGTAGTAGCACTGAATTAGCAGGAAGGAAATCTTATAGGCATTTCATTATAGCCTCTTGTATATTGGGTGCAAATCTGAAACTTTAAGTCTGCATGCATCCTTCAGGATGTTTGGTTCTTCAAAGCCCTTCCAAAAATAGCCAAAAATAGTAACATTTAAAGAAATAGAAAGGAGATGCTATATTGAAAGTAAATGCAGAAGCTATATTTAATTACCTTAATTTCAATTAAATTAGTGTTAGTCCCATTCAATTTTGGAGTGCAGTCCTCTGCACACTATCTAAAGACTGAGTATAGCTCACAAGCCCCTGAAGTCTGTGTACTAATTGAATGTGCTTCAATCCAATGTGGCAAATATGCAGGTGACCATTGCAGATTTGACTGAAGAAAATGATTTGAAAGTTTTGAAATAGTGATGCCTCAAATGCCTATTTGTCTGTGAGTGGTCTAAACTAGATAAGTTTGATGCCCTCTTACATTGCCAGCAGTATTACTGCTTCCTTTTTTGACCCAGAGCAAATTAGAAGAAGCCTCCTCTTGTGCTCTTTTTCCCCTTGCTAGGCACAGTGCTCTACTACCTCTGTGACCCATTTCCCCCAGTATTCCTCCCCTCCCACCTACTTTGAGGTCAAGTATTTGAACTGGCAGCTATCCCATGCAAGAATAAACAAGTCTGGGAGAAGGCTGGCACCCTCAGAATTTCAGCACAGCTAGAACTACAGCAGGGCTTTTGCTGCTATCCCACTGTTACCCATGAACAAATTAGCAGCAGTATTTCCATATTAATTAAGTGTGGAAACGAATGAGGTTAACTAGCCAAGGTCCTGCAGAATTTGAAGCCAGGCAGATTTGCCTACGTCTTAGTGATAAATGAGATGCTGATATATAATTGTATAAATAGCATGTTGGTTAGAATAGGCTTTGAAAGTATATAAAGGTCTCTAATTGACTTTAACTGCATTAACATTTTATGGCATTTTATGGCTTGTATTAACATGTTATGGCATCTGAAAGCTCATATTTAAAAAAATAAACAAATAAGCAAGATTGGCTCTATTGCTGGTTTGTGATTGTTATTGAAGGTCTCCTGGCTGTATTAGAATTCTAGTTACTTGAAATTGCCAGAACACTAAATATGAATGGAAATTGCATATAATGGTTACATGCCTTGTATTCTGAATTCTTCCTTTTGGAAAAAATGCTATTGTTAATTTTTTTTTCAGCTCCAGAAATTGAAACGATCACTTTCTTTCAAGACCAAAAGTTTGAGGAGTAAAAGTGCAGACAACTTTTTTCAACAAACAAATTGTGGCACAAAGTTGCAAGTAGATTTGCTATCAGAAATCACCTCTAAAAGGGAACAGCTCCCTAATTTGGAAAGTCAAAACTCCACTCCAACCAAAACTCATCTCCAACCAGACGACAAGATTCACATTTTTCAGGAACACATTTTCAAAAAACCCACATTCTGTGATGTCTGCAACCATATGATTGTTGGTAAGAAAGAATTTGTGTTTTATTTTTTGTTTTTTGTTTGTTTTGTTTTTGTTACTTTATAAAGTAACCTTTCTAGGGAACTTAGTTTTGCATTTATTTAATATATTCAAATTGCATGGAAAAATTGGAATATTTTTATGTTTTTGTATATAAAAAGTGATTCTGGGAATCACTGTTTATGAGAAACTAATCATAACTTCTATACAGGTAATCCCCAACTTATGACCACAATTGAGCACAACATTTATGTTGCTAAGTCAGACATTTGTTAAGTGAGTTTTGTTCCATTTTACGACCTTTCTTTACATAGTTGTTAAGTGAATCACTGCAGTTGTTAAGATAGTAGTATGATTCTTAAGTGAATCTGGCTTCCCCATTGACTTTGCTTTGCTTCTCATAAGATCTCAAAAAGGAGGTCACATGAACCAGGACACTGCAAAGGTCATAAATATGAACCAGTTGACAAGTGTCTGAATTTTGATCACATAACAATGGGGATGCTGCAATGGTCATAAGTATGAAAAATGGTCATGTCACTTTTTTCAGTGATGTTGTAACTTTGAATGGCCACTAAATGAACTGTTGTAAGTTGAGGATTACCTGTATTTAGAAATTCTAAGAACCAACTTTCTAGAATCTAGAGTTAACTTTCCAGATTTCAGTATATCAGCAGCAAAGGAGATATAGTCATGATGAGGAAAACATGCTTAAATACTAGCCAGCAATAAGCTAAGAAAGTGATAAATATTGATGAACAACTATCAGTAGAAATCTCCATTATATTGCACACCTAAATCTAATTACCTATGCTTTAAACATGGATTGATTTATTAATTAGCCATGCTATTCTTGAACTTTATTTCCTATAGTGACTTAGATGGAAAACATTTTAATTTTCTACACATTATTTGCATGCTAGGTCTCTCATCTGTGTCAAACGCAGAGAGCCTTAAAAGCATGAATTCAGATGAATTAGCAAATTCAGCATGAGCACAAATCTATTCAAAAGTATTCAAAAATGAACAGATAAAAAAGAAAATATGTTGTCAATGAATAACCTCCTGACCCCACTTGGATTAGTCATTTTATTTTTGCATTTTACATTTTGGATTTAATTTTCAAAAATGCAGTTAGTTAGTTTCTCATACTACAACATGGAAAGCAATGGCAGATGTGCAACTAGATATTGTAAATACTGTATCAGCCTTTATATGTTGGGAACTCAAATATTCCTTCAGGTCTTATTTTATTTTCTGCCTTTTATCAACTATTCATTTCTGAGCTTGACAGCCTTTGCTCTACTTCAGCATGACTCTTTCCTCCTTGGGAACATTGTTTGAAGGTTAAGAAGAGGGCTATACCACATACTCTTGGTGATTATTACTTTAAAATCCTAAAAAATAACAGGGATACCAAGGGCAATTCGTGGACTTGAAGATTGAAGGCATGTTTCACACATAACAATCAATCAATCAATCAATCAATCAATCAAATAAACAAATCTTTATTTGGTTATAGACAGTAAGTAGAATACAGAAAATCAGTTAATTAAAATTTTAAAAAGGAATGTGTATTTGTATGTATGTATTTGCATGTATGTATATATGTATGTAAATACATGTATGGCGAGAGTTGTCAGGGCCCTGGTCTCAGGCTGTTGTTGCTAAATGCCAGGTCTGTGGTTCACAA